CTAGCTTAATAATGAATTGGGAAGCAGTCTCTCTTCTTTGTTTTCAAGCAGAGATTAGGTAGCATTAGTGTTAATCCTTCCTTTAATGTTCAGTAGAATTCTCCAGTGAAACCACCTAGCTCTAAAGATTTCTTCTTTGGGACATTTTAAAGTTACAAATTCAATTGCCTTATAGTTATAGGATTATTAGATTATTCACTTCGTATTGGACGAGATGGTAATTTGTGCTTTTCAAGGAAATGTTCGGTTTTTCCTAAGTTTTCATATTTATGTGAATTTATGTGTAGTTTGTAGTATTCTATTATCCATTTGCCATCTGCTGTGTCTGTAGTGATAACCTGTTTTGTTCCTAATATTGGTAATTTGTGTCTCCTATATTTTTTCTGGGTCAGTAGAGCTAGAGGTTTCTCAATTTTATTGATCTTTTCAAAAACCAGCTCTATGTTCAATTGATTTTCTCTATTGTTCTTCTGCTTCGGGTTAATGTGGCTCTTATTTTTCTAGGTGTTGAGGTAGAAGCTCGCATCGTTGGTTTGAGACTCTTCCTCGTTCTTTAATGTGTGCATTTAATGCTATAAATGTTCCTCTCGCACTGCATTAAAAGTGTCCCGTACATTTTGATACGCTCTACTTTCATTTTCATTCAGCTCAATGAACTTTTTATTTCCCTTAAGACTTCTTCTTTGACGTAGGGATTATTTAGATGTATGTTGTTTAGTTTCCAAATGTTTGGAGATTTCCCCGTTATCTTTCGGTTATGATTTCTAGTGTGATTCCATTGTGATCAGAGATCATACTCTGTGTAATTTCAATCTTTTTTAAAGCTGCTGAGGTTTACCTTATGGCCTGGGATATGCTCTGCATGGGTGTATGTGACATGGACCCTTGAACAGAATGAACATTCTGTCGTTGCACGGCATAGTCTATAAACGTTCTATAAATCAGATCACGCTGGTGGATAGTATTGAGTTCTTTTATATCCTGGCTGATTTTCCGTCTGTTCTATCACTTGTTGAGAGAAAGATGTTAAAGTCACCAACTATAACTGTACATTCGTCTAATTCTCCTTTTAATTCTACCTGTTTTTGCTCCATTTCAGCTGTTTTTGGTACATGTGTACTTAGGATTTCTAGGTTATCTTCAGAGATAGATTGACATTTTAATCGTGATATAATGTCCTCTGTCTCTGGTAATTTTCTTTGATCTGAAGTCCACTTTATCTGATATTAATATCAGATACTACTGTGCTTTCCACTGATTAATTTTGCTTGATGTCTATTTTCCAGCCTGATACTTTCAACTTGCCTATTTTGCTATATTTGAAGTGAGTTTCTTGTAGGCAGCATATAGCTGGGTCAATTTTATTTTAATATGATTGGCTACTTTCTGTCCTTTAATTGTTGTTTTTACAGGATTTATATTTAATGTAATTACTGATGTGTTAGAGTTTAAGTCTACCACTTTATTTTTTGTTTTCTGTTTGTTGTTTCTGTTTTCTGTTTTCTTTTTCTAATTTTCCTATGGGATTACTTGATGTTTTTTAGAATTCCATTTTTATTTGTCTAGCGTTCTCAAGTATATCTGCATAGCTTTTAGTCGTTGGTTTAGGTATGTATGCATAACTCTATGTATGCATCATTTATCAAAGTCTAGTGATGTCATCAGTTCAAGCAAGGTTAAGAAACCTCACCTACCTCATGTTCCTTTAGCCTCCTGTTTATAATTGTCTGACATATTTTTACATACATTTATAATTTAAATTATAAATGTTATAAATGTAATTATATCAGACAGTGTTATATTTTTTCTCTTCTGTTATCAAACAATTTAGAAAACTTAAGAAGGGAAGAAACACTTATTGTATTTGTCCACCTTTTTCCTTACTGTATTCTTCCCTTGTTTTTGATGTTCTGGGTTCCTTCTTTTAGTGTTTCCTTTCTGTTTAAAGAACTTCCTTTAGCGATTTGCTAGGTCTGAATGTCTGTGATCTCCCAAAATTCATACATTGAAACCTTAATGCCCCGAGTGATGGTATTAGGAGGTGAGGCCTTTGGGAGATGGTTAGGTTGTCGGGTGGGGTCCTTGTGAATGAGATCAATGCCCTATGAAAGAGAACGTCGAGACCTGCTTTGTCCCTGAACCATGTGAAAACACGAAAAGTGAGCAGTCTGCCACCAGGAGGGCTTTCACAGAACCAACCACGCTGACCCCCAGATTTCAGACCCCTTTTCTCCAGAACTGCCACCAGACTTTGGTGTTTCATGACAGCTCCCCGAACCATTTCCTCAGGGTAGATCTACAGGAAACAAATTCTCCCAGCCTTCCTTCACCTGAAAGGTGTCTTAACTCCCGCTTCGTGCCTAATGGGTATTGTCACTGGATGGCAGATCCTGGGTGACAAGTCTTTTCTTTCGGCACTTTGTGCCACTTCCTTCTGGCCTTCGCGGTTTCTGATGAGTATACCTCTCTCCTTCTCAGTTTTTTTTCCACCCTATTGGTAAGTTGTCATCTTTCTCTGGCTGTTTTCAAAATTTTTTCTTTGTCTTTAGTTTTTATAAGTTCATGATATGTCTTATTGTAGACTTCTATAAGTTTATCCTCTTAGCTTCCTGAATTTGTAGGTTTAAGTCTCCTACCAAATTTGAGGTTTTCGGCCATTATTTCTCTGAGTACTTTTCCAGTGCCACCCTCCCCCTCTTCTTCCAGGGCTTCACTGACACAAATACTCTCTCTTTTGTTATGGTCCCGCGAATCCCCAAGGCTCTGTTCATGTTTCTCTTCAGTCTTTTTCCCTCTGTTGTTCTTACTGTATAATTCTCGTTGTTCTCTCATTTTAGATTCTTTCCTTTGTCTCCTCCATCCACCGAACTCGTTGAGTCCATCCACTGAACTTATTTTTGTTATTGTATTTTCAGTTCTAAAGTTTCCATTTGGTTCGTCTATTGTTTCCCTGACACAACTTTTTATTTCCTTGCTAAAGCTTTCTATTTTTTTTTCATTTGTTTCCAGAAGCTTTGTAATTGCTCTTTGAAACATTTTATTATGGCTGCTTTAAAATCTCTGTTAGATAATTTAATATCTTGGTCATCTCGGTGTTGGCATCTGTCTTTTTTCATTCAGTTTGAGATCTTTCTGGTCCTTGGTATAAGTAATTTTTTGTTTGAGCCTAACATGTTTCATGTTATGATCTGAGACTCTGGCTCCTATCTAAGCCTCTCTTTCATCGACCCTGTCCGACACTGCGTTAGCAGGGGGAGGATAGTGTCACCTTGTCGCTGCTAGGTAGAAAGGGAAGTCCTGGTTCCCCAGTTGGCCCCCGCTGAGACTTGAAGGGGGGTGCCTCTAAGTTACTGTTGAGAGGGAGTGGGAGTCCAGAATCCCCCCGTGGTCTCCACTTATTCTGTAAGGAGTGACTGGTCCCAGCTTCCTGGCTGGCCTCTCTGACCACCCCTGGGGGAATATTGGGGCACCTTATTACAGTCTCGAAAAGGTAAATTCTGGGCTCCCCACTGGGACTTTGACTTTCTGTGTGCAGTATTTGGCTGAAGTAGAGTGTCTATTGTTTAAAAGTTTTCTGCCTTGCTAGACTGCTCCTTTCCTGGTCTTTTGGCTAGAAAGAACAGACTTTTGCTGGAGTTTTTTTTGGGGGTCTGCACTTGTTGGTGTTTCTGGGTTGCTAGCACCTTCAGCTCCTCAAGGATAAATAAAATTAAAGAAAACCCGGAGAATTCACAACCATGTTGTTCCTTGGGTCCCTAGCTTGCTGAGTCATGTTTCAGTCTATGTTTGTTCTACGTATAAGGTCCAGGATTTTTAGTTATACACAGTAGAGGTATAGGGAAAAGTCTATCTACTCTATCTTCCTAGACGCAGAAGTCTACATATTACGTTTTTATAATTAGTGGAGCTCCTTTTCACGTAACTCCAAAACATTAAACAAATTGATTTTTTTCAAAGCAAAATGTAAACGAACATTAATAAGTAATTCTGTTGTTTTATTCCTAAACACCTCTCAAAGTCTAATTATTAGGATTAATTTATCACATCATCAAACAATGTTCTTCCAATCAATCAGAATAATTATTTATTTTACTAGTGCCCTAATTTTTCTTCCTCTGCCCTTAACAGCTGTTCACAGTGGAACTTGGTGGGTTATACAGAAATATACTCTTGATTAAAGGAGCAAGTGGAGGGGTTTCACCCACTTTAGATTTTAGAAAAGCACTTTAGTACTAAAAATAGAAAACAACGCTAATTTACTAAACATACACTGTATGTAAGGCACGGGGAACACAAAGACTGAAGCACAAAAAAAACCCCAAACATAAAACAGGGTCAAGTAATTGTGATTCAATGCTATGGGAATACAGAGAAGGCATGAATAATTATGAATAGTGATTTTAGAGGGATCCAGAACAATGGCACTTATGCTGGACTGGAAAGGATCTGTTACTTCAAGACATAGCACCTGCCTTCTTCATGCTGGGCTCCAGGGTGCCTGATGCAGAATGAATAGCATTTTGACAGAGACAGGGAAATAAGGTGGCATGGGTGGAAGGGTGGGTGTTCTAGGAACAGGAACAGCTCAAACCCGTACACAAAAATGTGGAGAGCAAAACAGAGCTTATAAAGACAATTATAAGCTGTGCTGTTTAAAAACTCACTAAGCAAAGGAAGAATAAATTCTCCTGGTAGTAATGACAACTTACTTTTCATTCACTCTTTCTATGTGCCAGGTACTGTGCTAAATGCTTTATATAAAGCATTTATTTAATCCTCGTATCAACCCTATGTGGTAGGTATTATTACTATTAGCCCATTTTAGAGATGAGGACATCGATGTTTAGAAAAAATAACATATCTGTGATCATAGGGTTAGAAAGTAGTGAAACCAGGATTCAACCCAAGGCACTCTGAGTAAAGAGACTGCATCTCAGTCACCACACTCGTGTACAGCAGGCAATAAATTACGGAATTTAGAAAAGTGATAAAATGCTTACCTTGGGATTTTCATGCACATGAATATCGTTTTCCAGTTGTAGATGGCATGGACCTGGGCAAAAAGGTCAGCATCCCCAGAGACATCATGTTGGAAGAACTATCCCATCTCAGTAATCGTGGTGCCCGACTATTTAAGATGCGGCAGAGAAGATCTGACAAATACACATTTGAAAATTTCCAGTATGAATCAAAAGCACAAATAAACGTATGTATAACTTGATCATGTGGGCAGCATTTCTAAATTTATACATATGACTAGATTCCCAAATGAGTATTCTACGTATTTTCTTTCCATTGATCCTGTTAAGACTTTTCTTTTTTTCATAACAATGGATAGTTTAGGTGGGTAAGCAAAATAAGTATCACGTTTGATTGATTATCTTTTTAGTTCAACAAAGACATGGAAAGCTTGCAGATTTGGCACTGAGGAACTGGCCTGAGCTGCTAAGAGGAGGTGAGGGAGGGGAGACTGGTGGCACTAAGAGCTTACACGGCCTTATCACCACTAGGTAAATGTTTGGGGTGGAAACACTTCCAAAGCACAGGGCGTTCCACCAATCAGTGGAAGCGTTTTACTGGCTGAACACATGTGCCCAATGAAATGTGCCAGGGACCACGGACTTGATCTCCTCTCACAGCACTAATCCCACAGCGTCAATGCTATGTTCATTTAGACCGCCAGTTACAGGGACTGTAGAGGGAGGCATTCATGACAGGACAACTAGCTCTGGGGACATGGCTTTAAAACTAAAACACCAGGCACAAAGAATCAAAAAGGAATAGTGTGTTGGTTCTAAATTTGAAGCGATGGTGCTACTACAACAAATATATTTTATTTACTGAGAGTTTCTTCCTATAGCTTTGAAAAGACTGTATGTTTACTTATGAATTTAAACCTGAAAACTTACCAGCTGCCATCACTAAGTTGTTTTGAATAGATAGCTCATTTCTTTACAGCAAACAGACTGATTTCACTAAGATCTTTTACCGTAATTACTAAACACCTTACAGAACATCCATATCCACAAACATTAAAATTTTATTAATTCCCAAATTTATATTTTCCTTGTTATGTTTCTGGGTAAATATTGAGAGAACATCTTAAATGTTTTTTCCACAATAATGAGCATCCTTCAACACCCATGAGTTGAATCTAGTTATAATTATAATTTAGATAGACATCCAATCTTACTCAAGTAGAGCATTTATATCTATGAGAAATGATTTTTCACTTGAAGTCTTGGATAAATGTAATGCTATGTTACCCTATAATTATCTCCAGTATCCTCTTATCAGGAAAAATCTGCTGCTAATACAGTATGAGCCCAAAATAATCCCTGTCTCAGCTGACGAGTCTGATTACATAATCATATTCTTTCGATAATGACAACAGAGAAGAAGCTTTAAAGAATAACATAAATTAGGTAGCTTATGGGAATTCTTTGAAAAGTTCTCTGCAAGTCCAAACATCTGAATGAACGAATAATGCCAGTTTTCATAACTTACACTTACATCTGTAAGAATACAGATTTAATACTGTGCTAGAGGAAGGTAAAATGAGGTTAAAATGTCCTTATGAACACAACATATCCTCTCATCACTAGTATTTCAAATTATTGACAATGATCTTATATATCTTTAGTCAAATTTTTTGATTATACAGAAAATGTGTAAGAATGTGTTGATAATTTTTCAGTATTCCTAGAAAACTGAGCACTAAATAAATTAGTCCAAAACATACATATTGAAATAAACAAATGCTAATAAATAACTCAGAGCAATAAACAATAGTAATGCATGCAATGAAGTCACATGTCGTTAAATTACATAACATACTCTCAAGTCTGATGACAGTCACTCTCTCTTTAAAAATGAGGAAGGTAGCATCTGAGGAAATGTACTGATTTGACTTAGGCAACACAATGAAGAAGACTGAAAGCCAGCTCTCAAAATTCTAGAGTTCCTGACACCGACACCTATCGTGGTGTAATGAAGGGAGCTCTGGCCTGGAGCCCAGAGACCAGGGCTTGGTCCTGGCTTTCCCACGAGTCGTGTGATATAAAGTTAATGTAGAGGTTTCTTTGCCCTGCTGCCCTGCGTTCTCATCTATAAAATAAGGGAATGGATGCAGATGTTCTCTGAGGTGCCTTTGGCTTTGATGGTGTGTGTTCTCCGGCCTTGCTTCTGGGGGACAGGGAGCCACATTACATGATGGTACGCTTGCTTTATCAGGGCTCTAGCCTGCAACCTGGAGCAAGCACTGTTAATACGACAGGAATTTAAAAAATAATATTAGGTTCAGGTCTATTCCCATTCATTTATTTATACTTTTGGCAAATATTTAGTGAATTCCTACTATGTTCTAGATACTACACTAGAAGCTCAAAGATAAACGAATATAGCCTTATCTAGTGATGGAGAGACAAAAACAACATTAAAAGGTAGCAACTATTTACTTGTAATCTAGTTCTTAAATCATCTGTGTAACATTTATATCACATCAAACTAATTGAATAAATTTTCTGAAATGAGTTTTTGCTGCTTCCTTTGAGCTACAGATGTTGTCAAAATAATTATTTAACTTATACTTATATATTCATTTTATAACAATGTTCAGGACATCATTAGATGAAAATATAAACCAGCTCCCTGGTAATCAATGCCATTTGTTCAAATATTAAGTATCATTTTAAAAACAGAAAAAAATAAGTGCAGATTTGAGCCTACTTTCCTTCCCAGAATTTCAAGACACACAAGCCTTAAATGACATAAAGAATAACAATAGGAAATGTGCATTCTTAAAAAAAAAAAAATGAAGATATAGTGCTTGCTACACAAGCCAATCTCGAAGCTCTAGTTCATGAACTGATCAACTTCTTACACAAAAAGGCAGAAAAAAGAAATGGGTGAAGAAAATAAGCACTTAAGGGAAAATAAAACAGAAGAGCGATTCATGATAATATATATATTTTTTAAATAACTTAAATATATGTATTTTAATAACTTTTACTATGTATTTGGCACAAATTATAGAACACACTTTTGAAAACTCTCTTATTTCTATTGATATTTCACAGAAATCACGTTAAACACATCATACATGTGCTTAAAACGTATATGTTTATAACCTATAAGATACAGCTTTAGTTTTATTTTACTTATAGTCAACTTAACTGAAATAAAACAAAACATAGTTTCATTTTTCTTTCCAACTTTTCCTAAAAGGAATCACACATGACAGAACTCTATAACTTAAAGCTTATGTCATAATTAAAATAAGTCATGACCTAACTATGATAAGACTTTGTATACTTAACAGTGGAGGTACTGGTCGTCTCCTGCTAATTAATGACTAATTAGAAAGAGTTGATTTTCCTGCTCATCATTAGTCTCCAGGAAGAAGTCTATACAGATGGTCAGTATTAGAATTCATAAATTAATGCAGGTAGAATGATTTGTAAGTTTCGGTGAAATTCATTTCATGGACACATTTCAGAAACTTAGAAAAAGTTCAATAGCTAAACCAATGGCCATGTAAGTCATTAAGGCCCTATGAAACGATGAAGTGACATTGTATTTAAATTCTAAATATACAAATGTAAGCTTGCACATATGATATTTCCTGTTTGTGTGTCTAATATTTCTGAGTTTTCAGCAGAGTTTATTTTTGATCAAATACAGCACAGTCTTGCCATGCAAAATGGGAAACTGGATGCAAGTCACCTGGAAGGCAGTTCACAGCAAGCCCCCTTCACTCCTCCCAACACCCCAGATCCACGAAGTCCCCCAAACCCAGAAAACATTGCACCAGGTAACTCATCACCTTATAAACGGAATAATAAAATTGCTATGCACTTAAATATATGACTCAAGTCATTTGGCTCCTTCAATAAATGGTATCTAAATGATACAGTTTGTTTCATGTGGGTAAGGTCAAGATCAAGGTACAGATTTTGACCGAAAGGAGTCATGTAAAACATTTACAGTGGTCTTATTATATCCTTTCAGATTGTCCACTGTATTATTGGCAATCACCTGTTATATTAAAAATTAAGTCATCTGTACTTATATTTAAATTCTATTTGTATGGGAGGGTAAATTTATGAAGTGCTAATGATATATTTGTCTTCCTTAATTTTACAATAAGTCCATGATATATTTCTTATAATCCTCATTTACACATTAAGAAATGAGGTTACAAATGGCTATGAGTCAATAGTAATTAATCAAGAATTAAATCCAGGTCTGGTACCCAATTTACAGTTATGTGATCGTTATGCTTATGTGTGAAGACAAACTAGGAAAAAATACACAAAAATAAAATAATTGTGTTATGGTAATGGAATTTCAAGAATCTTTAAAAAGATAAAATTTAAAATTTTCTAGTTTCTATATGGCTGACCTCTGATCAACTTTAGGAAAGGAGTCAGAAACAAAATGTGGCAGTAATGAAAACGGAGTTAGGTGTGTCGTACAGCAATGGCGACCCTGCTTTCCTGGGGAGAGGGGCGTGGCCACAGAGAAGCAGCATCCTCAAGTTAAGGCTTGAGATGGGAATTGGCAGGTGACAAGAACTGCAGAGAGCAGGCTCCGGGAACAAATGGAACAAGTAGGCACGGGGGACACAAGCAGCTTCAAGTAGATCTACAGAGTTCTGGAGAATAAAACGTAAGAGGAAATGTCAGGTGAGGCTGGACAGGCTGGTAGGCACATGTGTGTCATGCTGAGTAGCTTACATTTTTGTCCTGGGAGCTGTGATAGCACTGAGGAAGGAAGTGAGTGACAAGATCGAGTTTTCTAGGTGAAAGGTCTTGGGGTTGGGGGAGGAGGTGCAGCAGTGTGAGGGGTGCCTGGGAGAGGGGCTGAGAGCTAAAGGATTAGTGAAGGCTGTAGTCCAAGCCCAGGCAGAAGGACAGTTGTCATGGAAATGAGGAGGACACAAGGAATTTTCTAGAGCAAGGTTTCCCAATATTTTCTATGAAAATCACTTACATAAGATTTGTAAGCCATACCCGAGACTTAGTGAAGCCAAATTTCTGGATAGAAAAGCCCATTTCCAACATTTTAAATAGGTACCTAACCTAAGGCAAGTCAGAAACATGAAGTCTGAGGGGCACTATTTCAGAAACCCTCAAAAAGCATAGTTGGTGAAACTCGGTGACTTCCTGTGGGAATGAGGGGAATTTGGGATAAGAGTTCTTTCTGTCTTGGGCGTCTGAGGGCAGAGTGACAATATTTGCTAAGATGAGCAATACAGGAAAAGCAGCAGGGTGTATTAGAAAACAGCTGTGCCTAGGTGTGCACAGGACATCAACTGTGCCAGGGGAATATTCTTTCGGACAAACGTGGTAGGTGGTGGAAGAGAAAGGCCTGGGGATCAAAAATTGAAACTCGGAATCATCAAGATGTAGGTCACAATTAAAGCCATGGGTAGAAATGGAATTTTCTAGGTAGAAAGTATAGCGTAAGTAAAGAGCTTGAGTGAATGGCAAGCTGAGCAAAGAAGCCGACTAAGAGACTCCTCTGAGATGCTGGAGACGATTGCAAGAACATTAAATTACTACAAACAAAAAACCTCCTAGAAGTGAATTGTTAAGATCTTTTGAAGGAGATAAACATTTTAGTGTAAAAAAACAAAAGGAAACAAAACATTTCAGACGGGAAGGAGCCCAGGGGGACGCACAAGGAGGAGCAATCCAACGGTGACAGAATCGCAGGAAGGACACAGCTGGGTAGGGTCGTCATCCTGTAGATGGCTGTGTGTCGGACCTCTGAAGATGCCACTGGATGCATGTGAAAATGGTTTGACGTTTCTGCCAGGAATTTGTGTGACTTTTAAATGGCACTTACAGAAAATTCTAGCTCTTGTGAGAAGAGTAAGCTGCGGAGTTGAGACCAGACGCAGGAAAGCTAGTTAGGTTAGAAATCTTCAGGAACAAGGCGGACACGGGACGGACACACCGCGCCTGACTGAGGCAGTGGGAACGAAGCACCTCACCGTCTGAGGCGTCGCAGTCTGGGACGGCCCAGCACTCTAAGACAGACGACACCCGAACACCACCTCTACCCATCAGCTCTGAGACGAGGTGGGGTTTGTCTTTGCTGCTGCTGCTTCCCCAGAGCCCAGGCCGACTAGGACACTCAATACACATTTTTAAATTTAATGCTTTAGTTGTGATATATGGAGCCTATATAAATATCATAATGGGCATAATTTTTAAAAATAAAATGAATAGTTTCACTGAACAAATATATACTAAAATAGTCAAGGAAGAAATAATTGTATGATATGGTAAAATTAAACATTAAGCAAAGTGGTTTCTTTTGAAAATTCCGTAAGTTTAAAAAGGCTTAAAAATGTCTAATACTTTCAGACTACTCTTTTCTGAGAGATCATGAAAAGAATATGTTCTTCATAAATTTATCCTGCATGAAATTAAACATGGTTAAATATTAGGTGGAGTTTTGTAATTCTCAGGCACTCCTAGTTTACTTATTCTTGCTATGTTTTTCCAAAGGATATTCTGGGCCACTGAAGGAAATTCCTCCTGAAAGATTCAACACCACAGCTGTCCCTAAGTACTACCAATCGCCCTGGGAACAGGCCATTAGCGGTGACCCCGAACTCTTGGAGGCTTTATACCCTAAACTCTTCAAGCCTGAAGGAAAGGCAGAACTGCCTGATTACAGGAGCTTTAACAGGTAATTCAGTTCTCCTGGGTGACTGGTGGCGTGTAATACCATGGTTTTATATCACGGTACAGAGAACGGAATCCTCTGATACAAAAGAATGTTTTTCTTTTAAGAAGAGACTCAAAATATCAATACAGAATGACTCCTAAGTCTAGGCAAAGATTCACTTTTGTAGTCTTGCTAATATGCCAAAACTCAGTTTTTTTTAGTATAAAAATGAAGGAAATGATTCAGAAACCATCACTATTATAATATCGATTATCTTCCACATTTAAAAAATGTTTTAATAATTTCTCAAAGTTTTGATATTAGTTTATCTGTTGTTTTAAATGATAACGCTGTTCAAGAATTTCAGAAATAATTCACATATAGGAACATGAGAACCACGGTGTAATTCTAGGTTCCAATTTATATATTTTTAAGCCAGATTAAAGGTAATTATAGGGTTTATGGCTCAAGACGCCAGCACAAGTACAAACCCAAACTCATGCTACCAAAAATATTGACAAATAATATCTGCTTTTTAGTTTTCACAATGGACATTTATTATTCCCTGTTATCCATTTTTAAAATAATTTCCATGGGGTTTTAAATATCTTTTATTAGTCATCCATTCTTTGATCACTTGATTTTCATTTTAGAGTAAAATATCTCCAGTATGCTGTCTCAGAACTACAAAAATGTAGACCTGGTGTTCAGGCTGCTTAGTGACTATTTGCCTAAAAATTAATAAATTAAGCAGTAAATCCTTGGTTTACACAAGAATACCACAAAAGCTGCATTAAAATAGTGATCATGTTTAATACTTTTACATTAATGTACTATGAAACTTTTAGTTTTCACACACTACTACAGTAATAATATTAGTATTACATCTATTATGAGTGGTACGTCTACTAGTACTTCATCTAATACTTTTAGCATTATTAGTAGTAATGCTGAGTCTTAGAACTACATCTATTCTCTAATACACCTATGGCATAAACAAGGTATACCGCAGAATTTAAGAAGGGGTTGAATTGTGGCAGAGAAGGGAGGCTGGAGGCCCACTCTAATCAACGATATTCCCAAAGTCCTTTGTGAAGAGTAAAATGGTATTATTAGGTGGCCCCGCAGTATCACACATAATTATCGGATATTGCTGATGAAGCATGAGAGGGAGAGATGCAGTCTAGCATTCAGCAGGGGTAATGACCAGATGGGAGTTGGCGCCCAGTGGTCCCTAGGTTGACGTAACTTTGCATTTGACTATATTTAACTATTATACTATATTCAAATAATACTCTATTAAACCCATGTAACGTGAGGAAAATTAAGCTAGGAGCAGGGTTTCCAGCTCTGCTTTAGAAAGCTGTATGTTTGACTATGTCACTTAACCTCTCTTTGTACTAATTTCCTCATCTGTAAAATAAGTTCTATGATTATATGGTTAAGTACCTTTAAAAATATTACATATGTGAGGTATTTAGTAGAATAATTTATTTTAATTCCTACACAATTGTTTTACATTGTTCTTTACATTATAATCAGTAATTATCACGGGTGTATTATATATCCAGCACTATTAATTTGTACAAATGCAATCCCATTACGTATCAATAAAAATAAACAAGAAACCATCTATTAACTGTGATTCTGTGTAGAATGGGCTTATTATTCACTGTGTAGCTGAAAAAGTGTAAAAATCATTTTAAGTCAGATCTATGTTGGAAGAATGTATGTTATGGATGGTATAGGAATACATGGTTATCTCTCAGCAGAATGTTCCAAACCTTTTACTGGAAACTTTTGCTTCACTAAGTTTAACTAAAACTTGAAACTATTTTCAGAAGTCTTAAATATCTTACCAGTAGTCTCTCACCTTGAATGCTTAACATTTCTGTTCATGGGCTTTCTTTACTTTGTGTGCCGAGGGCAACAAAAATTCAAATAAACAGGATGTAGGCTCAAAGGTGCCAAAGAAAAGAACATTCTGCTTTCCAAACAGCAATCTCTCACTGGATCAGTGGTAGGAGGTAGGAGATGGGTGATGGGACCGAAGGGAATGTTTTCATTAACAAGAGAAGAAAACGACCCACAAATTGGGAGGGAAAAACAGCACAGAACCGGACAAAAAGGGAATAAAGAATGTACTAAATGCCAAACCCAAATGTTGAATTTCGACAGCAGAGAAACATTTCCTCTTTGATTTAATTCAGTAAAAATTACGTTAATGAGTAAAATCCATTTTGGGAATTCATAAACACAAGATTAAGTGATCAAATTCAGCCTAAGTCTAGAAACGTCCGAGTCTAGCCTGTTGTCCCCATACACCCTTAAACTCCCAGGGCTGGACATGTGTGGCCTGGGCAAGGGCACAGCCCCACCCAGAAGGGCCACGCCTGGTTAAATGCTTTGCTCTCTGTTTTGAAATTCTTAACCATTTTTTAAACAAGGGCCCTGAGTTTTCGTTGTGCACTGAGCCCTACACACCACGGGGCTGGTTCCCAGGCTCTAAGCTTAAGAAGCGTTTCCTGACCCACCAGGCAGATTGGTGCTTTATGCCCTAAGCTCCTCTGCATTCTGGATCTTGTTCCCTTAGAGTAACTACCGTATTCCACAGTGCGCTGTTCCTTCTCTCACGTTGCACTCTTTACTTCTCTGTGAGCTCACTGAAGTTAAGATCCACTACAGTCCTTTCAGCTTCGAATTCCTGGCACATAGTAGTGTCTAGATGTGCTTAGATCAGTTATTTGCTGTAAGAATAAATGGATGAGTCAAAAAATGAACAAATTAATTGTACGCAATGGTAAGTTTCTAAAATGAAAAAATATTGTCTTGGACATCCTGGACATCCAAGAATAAGAAGTTTTATTTACGAACTGAATCAAATTTGAGTCAAAGACTCTTCGATTCACATTAACAGGGGCCCAGGGTGATTCCTGTACTGATACAGTTTGAGGAGCACTTAAAACAGCGGCCAGTGCACAGCATCCGGTCCCTACCTCCTAGCTCTCACTATTGCTTTGCCTTCTGAAGTTTAATAATCACTAAGTGCCTGAATGATAATTGAAGTTCCTGATTAAGTTCTGAGATTAATGATCATCTAAGCACTCTGTCATAAGCCCTGAATGACTGACAGAAGACAATCAATGCTATAGGAATTTGGCTTAGGAAGGGGGTACGGGCTGGGAAAGCTGGCGGGATGTTAGAACTTAGAGGTGGAGTGAGGGCAGGGAGGAAATATCTTAAGCAGGGGAAGTACTGTTAGCGAAGGCACAGGCGAACAATTTTTATGATGATCTCACGGTTCAATGACTAGATTAGTTTAATCCCAAACTAAGAGTACATACAAAGGGACTTTACACTAACTTGTTATCAAACATCCGTTTTGTCATAAAGGCATGGTCCTTAAACGAAAATGCCTGTCTCAGAGGTCAAAGACTGAAAACCCTACTAAGACTATAGCATAACATGCCTGTAAAGTCATGAATTAAGTTTTTTTATTTTCTAGCAAATAAATTAGAAAATCAGTTAATATATTCTTTTTCTTTTCATTTCCCACAGAGTTGCCACCCCATTTGGAGGTTTTGAAAAAGCATCAAAAATGGTTAAATTCTCGGTTCCAGATTTTGAGCTTCTACTTCTCAGAGATTCCAGGTTCATGGCTTTTTCCAACCCTCTCTCTGGCAGACGGTCCTTTAATAGGACCCCGAAGGGATGGATGTCTGAGAATGTTCCCATAGTAATTACGACAGAACCTACGGAGGGTACCGCCGTGCCGGAATCAGAAGACTTATGAGAAGAAAGGAGCCTGTGCCACAAACGCCTCTGAACACAAATGCTGCTGTTTCATCAGTCCACTGATCCGCCAGGCCGCTCACACTCTTATTAGCGGCGATCATTTAATAGCGATTTAGCAAGTTTCCTTTGATGGCATTTATTTTTGATCTCAGATCGAATACTAATAAACAACTCAGAATCTTGTTTTAAAGACTTTTAACTCACTTGTCTTTATTCATAATTTTGTTTTCACCTGCTCTAAACAATCCTGCCTTTTCACTGAGGAAGTCTGGAAGAATAACTGACAGCAAAAGGTTTCATCTTGGTTTCCTTTCATGGGAGCTACTCCTGAATAAGTTTTTCAAATGGAATCTAGAATCGAAACACAGTCAAGACTCAAGGAACATCATGCTCCTTCCATTTTAAGGATCACGGTGTACTCACGATTCAGGTTCAACACATCCCAATGCTATATGTTGATTAGGTTCAACTTTATGTATACATTTTTAGAAGCATAACAAGTAAAATACATACTAACATACATATAAATATATGTATATGAGAGAGGGAGAGAGAGTAATTTGAATCGGCAGTTTTCTTTGCTGAATCTTTAAAATCTGCTCAAATCTAAGTACTAAGGAGTAGATGCTATAAAACATAAACAAAGACAAGAAACAGAAGAACGTGAACAAATCTGAAATATCTATTATGAAGTATGTGAATATGCTGGTATAAAAGACTCGAAGCATGTATTATGAAGTATGTGAATATGTTGGTATAAAAGAATCGAGCTAATACAAAGTTATAGATATATCTTAAAATATGGTTGAGGAAGCATATAACACAGAACTGGTAAGAAGTAAATAGCAAGTCTTCCCATTTCAATTCGGTGGAGGGTTCTGTGACGGATGTTAAATGGACAAGTGTTCCATCCACAGAAAACTATCTACCAGATTAAGTCCAGGAGATAGGAAGAAGGAACGTGAATAATAGCGTAAGGAAAATGGCAAGTAGCAACGCTGCCTATTCAAAAGAATCTGTACGTAGTGTTGGGATTGGCGGTGGTTTTAATCATCTTCTAGACTTTTAAATAGAGAGATTAAAAATTTTTTTTCTTATGAAAAATGCAATCCCTAGAAAGTAACAATATCGATGTATTGTATTTATACATATTATCATTGTAGATAATTTATATAATTTAAAATATGTCTTTAAGATATGTTAGTTTTATTTGTTTTGGTGTTACCTGTTTTAAATAATAACACTGGCAACTATGATAAACTCTAGATATGAGGCTCCAATCACGCGATTTTTTTTGTTCATTTTAATATTTTAAAAATAAAAGCTAGTCATATTCTCTTATGAATTTTGCTGAAATGGTTTAGTTTTTTATTAGCAGTTTGAAATGAGTTACTATTTTTCATTAAATTGGAATTTTACTGCATGGTTTCAATTATCTCCAAATAAACTCTATGCCCAGTATCACCATTCTGTCAACCACCAAAAAGGGGCCCAGCAATAAAATATGTTAGCTATAGACCAGTACTCCACAGTACCATAAAGCACTATTTAAAAAGGGAGAATCCTAAGTATTGGGTAGAAAATGATGGGCTAATCCTCTGTTCACTATTATATTTCTTGCTTTCCTGGAAGTGTCTCTTAATTCTAGCTCAGCTGTTTTGATATCTCTAGCAATGACTAAATTTCACACTCCAGTTGCTATAAAATTAAGAATTCAAAAGGAATTGTGAATGGGTTTTCCACTGACCTAAAAACCAGCTAAATCTTTCAAATGGAATCTAGAATTGAAGAAATTTGATAGTCTATTTAGAACAGCAGAAAGACTGACATTTTTTCCACCCACATTTGTATTCATGAAAAAAGAAATAAAGGAGAATGAAAATTAAAAAGAAAAAGAGATGAAAATATGTTGATGGACTATTAAACGCTAAGCACTATACGCGATGCTTTATAAACGCTATTTAATACATATTTTAACATTATTCTATTTTCGTAATTATCCTGTGGGGAAGGTGTTATGGAAGAAAATCGAGCCTCAGAGCACTAAAGTGAATTAGCTTAATTTTAGCTCAAAAAGGGAAGAACTTGGTGAGCCTAGCTCTAAAATACACAATCTAGCCTATGGCCATGCCACCCTGAACACGTCTGATTCCATCTGATCTTGGAAGCTAAGCAGGGTCGGGCCTGGTTAGTACTTGGATGGGAGACCACCTAGGAAGACCAGGTGCCGTAGGCGTAAAAAAAAAAAAAAATTCACGATCTAAGAACTTATGTTCATTATTGCTCTTTCAGAATAAAATTGAGCTTTAAACTACTTTATTACGTCTAGACAAAATAATAAGAAATTCCCATTATTTTAATTAGGCAAATAGAGGTATAAACTGAGATATTTTGGAGTCAGCCTCCAAAGTCATTCAGGCACTCTTAAGCATAAAAAGCTGAACTTTCTGACTGTGTTGAAAGTGAATTAAATAAAACAAGCAATATGCACGGTTAATTATAAAATTAGAGAAAAGCAGAAGCGTACTCTCTTATTAAATCTGCTCATCTCTCTGCACAGCATCGTGCCCCCTTTTGATCAATGTAGCCTTCCTTTTGTTTCCCCTATAAGGACAAAGAAGGGAGAAAGAAGAGGAAATAAAGCGGACAGAAGTGCATGACAATTGTTCTCTAGATAACAACCAGAGTGCCATTAATAACTGGAGCTATGTTTAAAATAATCGTTCTTGGTTTGTAACTCTACACTCTCTTCGATCATTTCTCAAAGCCAGTATTTTCTATTTCTTAACTCAACATTTGAAAGGATTTGATAATTAAAAATGCCTAATTATTGGTTATTACAGAATGAAGTACAAATACGGACAACAATTTTTAGTCAAAGTGACCATTTATTGCATCCGCTTAAAATTTTACATTTTCTAAATAGACCCATTTATAAATGTTTTAGCAGCTTGGAAATGGAGGGAGCCAATTATTCTCACAAAGGCTAATGTGGAGCAAAGTGTCCAGTTGTGAGTATGAAAAGAACACTGTGAACTTTCCAGCTCAGGGCACGGCTGTACCGGCAGACTTATTAATTCTGGAATTTCCTCACTCTGCTGCTTATGCAAGATAAAACTTGATGACATCACTGCAGTTTCTTGGCCACAACCGCTTTTTATTAAGCTTAGGGAAGTATTGCTTTGAATACCCCTTTTCTTCTGAAAAATACTTTCGACCTCCACATGCTCAATTCTGGAGAGGGACAGGCAGCTCGCTTTCTGAGAAAGGTGGAAGAGTGCCAGGCTTCTGCCAGGAGAGCAAGCAAGGGGACTCCACTCCAAACGAACCGATCACAGCGCTTCACAAAGACGTCGAAGGATGTTTAGGAAATTATGCTTTAAAAGGTTAAATTCCTCAAAACTAAGAACAAAGTAAGTAAAATCGTAGAAAGATTTCAGTGGCTTAACTGAAGTATTATTAGGTAAATAACAGGGTGTGCCCCTATTTAAGTCCCTTAAACAGAAGAGCTAGATTTCAACCCTGGCTCTGAACTTTCCCTGGCTTCTCAATATGATGTGCTTTCAATAGGAAGATTTGGTACACATGGCAAAGAATGAGGAAAAGCTATTTTTAAGAGATTATAGTTCTGACCCAAAAAGAATGTGCTTACTATTCAGCATTGTGTAGTATCTCGAAACACATTTCAGTGACAACTTAGGAAGGGTAGGAGATAGTGACATTTCAGGAAAGAGGATGGGGAAAAGTCAAGGAAAAAAGATAAATTCAACGTCATGTCCTATTTTAAAACTGCTGATCGAAGAACTGCTATAGAAGCTGCAGCACTAGCACAATAAATAGAAAAGAAAAGGGAGAAAAGGAATGTGAGAACGAAGCAGGCCAAAGGGGAGCACAGACGGGCTGTCCGGGAGCTGACTGTGCTATTCGGTGGCTTCTGGAGCCCTCCCCCTTAGCAGTTTGGTTCTCTGTGCACACAACTGTCGGACGTGAATTGTCACCCACGTAGATGCCCTCATTACATTTCCTTTACCATCTCTCACTTGCAAATAACATATGAAAGCAGTGTATAGGAAAGTGGTGCCAGCTCTGCTAATGCACCACAAATCAGCGATGTGACCTCAAGCGGTTTACTTCATTCTGAAAGGTGTACTTTTCTCCAACTCTGTGTGGCTTCAATGCCACCTCTGAGACCTTGCCTGAACACCCTTATTTAAGGGAGCGCACTGCTAACCCCTTACTGCGCTTCTATTTTACTTTTTTCATAGCACTTATTAACCTTAGTGTAGTTAGTTAAATAAAAAAACAAACAAACAAACAAATAAATCTGAATTATGGGGCTAATATTAAATAAATACATGAATCTGAATTATGGGGCTAATATTAGTATCTACCTTTAAAATACTGCATAATAAAGTACATTACCCAATATATGATAAAGGCTTGTTAATATTAGCTGTTGCTATTAACAAAATAAGATATTATCAAGACCATACAGTAAGAGAACAAAAGCATTTAGAACTGACTTAGATAACAGGTTACACTGGAACTGCTTCCAGATAAATATACTTTGCCCTGATTTGGAACTAATATATGTTGGAACAATGAGAACATTAAATATACACACAAGAAACACGAAGTGGACTGACAGCATTAGCTCCGTTCTCCAGACTCAAAACTGCAACGAAGGGAGCCTGTTTAGGGTCTTGCTAAAATATTATTTCTTGTGAGCATCTGCATATTTTCTATGTCACTTGAGAATTTAAAAAAATCAATATGGTGGACACTTCCCTTGATCACTGTACCTACCTTACCTCTACAGAAACACCTTACACAATCAGAACAGAGTTCCCATGGAACTGATGGCTACAAACCCTTCATTTTTTAAAAAACTAAAATGGCTTCCCATTTAAATACCTGTTTGCAATACTTCGAATCACAAACACATGTCACTTGGATTCTAATGCATTGGCACAATCACATCTAAAGTGTAACGAATAAAAACAATCACCCAAGTCACTTTCTTGGTGCTTAACGACATTAGGCATCTCGAAGTCACGACCAGGGAAAGGAGGTCATTCTTCTATAAAATACTGGAAAATCTCCCTAAACGCAATCAACCTTTTCTTCTTTTCTCCCTTACCTTGAAAAGGCAGGAGGAATACTTTCCGACTTCTACTCTCAAGCATTAAACTTATAATGCTGGTGGCTGAATGTGTCTAGCCCCCTAAAATTGATATGTTGGAACTCTAACTTCCAGTGTGATGGCATTAGGGGGTAGGCCTGTGGGGAGTGAGTTGGTCATGAGCATGGAACCCCTATGAATGTGATCAGTGCCCTCATAAAAGAGACCCCAGAGAGCAATGTCGCCTCTTCCCCGTAAGAGGACACAGAGATAGCCCTATCGGCACCTTGATCTTGGAATTCTCATCTTCTAGACTTGATCTTAGCCAAAAAGCCATGAAGTGATTCCCAGTTTCTGGAACTGTGAGACATAAACGTCTATTGTTTATAAACCACCCAGTCTATGATATTGTTACAGTAGCCCCAACAGATACACAGCAACACAGAAAAATCATCATGTTGTCAGATGTACATACCGATATGGTTCGTGATCATAATTATCAGAATGTATTAGACTATACTATTTGTACAATTCCACACCCCGATGCTTACTTAAGTGTCCTCTATGAGCATCGCAAAAAGATATTAATATTTTGAATATAATAAGAAAAGAATGAGTTATTATTTTGCCAAACACAAGCTACAAGTACTGTGTAAATAGCATAATGAAACACTCTCTTTGGTTCACAACCATCAGACTAAAAGAACTTTAGAATTAGACACTATTGTGAAATATTCTAGATCAATTCCCCTCATTTACAGAATGGGAAGTTAGATGAGAGGAGCTAAGAAACTAGCCCAGTCTCACGCTGTGGGTCTAAAATTAGGAGCCAAGAACCCTGCTTCTGCTCTAACGCTCCTCCGCCTGTCTTACTCTTTCTCCTGTCTCAGCTGAGAATGCAATGTCTACAGGGCAACAGTCCGCACATCTGGAGGCAGCCTGGAAATGAGCTCGTGTTTACCTCGCTGTGTAGAGACAACTGTAGTCTGTATACCCTACTTACTAAGCACAGAGAAATAAGGCTGGATAAGGGGCGATGCCAGTGAAACGTGGAGCCAGAGATGGGAAGGCCTTTTCTACCATGTTAGGAAGTTTTACTTTTACCAGTAAAAAACCATGTTAGGAAGTTTTACTTTTACCAGTAAAAAACTGTCAATGTGACAGTATCAAACCAAAATACTATTTTCTAACTGGAAGTAAATTTCTATACTGTATTAAAGAGTAAATATTGTCCCTTCCACTAGAAACCTCCTGCTCCATGTCTAACTGTAGTCGTGTTCTGCTAAGGGGTCAGGAGATCAATTCAGTTGGTTATGATCAGCAGCTTTTTAAATGAAACAGGATAAAGTAAAATAAAATGTCAGAGTATGTCACTCACATGCATGTTCATGTGAACTGGATCACAGCTGCTTGCTGTTAGGGACTGAAATGTTACCATTGTTTTTAGCAACTGAAATGGCTTCCCTCCTTCACATTAAAACCATTACACCTAATTTAATAGAGTTCTTCGGAATGAAAAGAATTTGAAACAGTAGCAGAACATTTTAATCAGAAAAACTTTGATTTAAAAATGTACGAGAAGGCTTTAACGCACACGGCAGGCCTATTGTTGCCAAGAGTTAGTATTTTCCTAGCCAACTTCAGTTTTAGGGCGTTTCATAGAGAAGAGAATGAAAGACTCAAGAGCACTAACGGTTAAGAAAAATAAACT